CCCCACGCCCACATCCCACTGCAACGCCCAGCTAATGTCATTACTCACCACGGGAGGGTTCTCAGCGTGCCGACGTCAGGCATGAGTCGCACCTCCCCCACGGCGGACAGGCCGCATCCGGGGGCGGGCCCATCCACGAACGACGCGAACGCGTAGATGCAGCGCGCCAGGCCTATCCCCTGCTGACACGTCAGCGCGCGGAACCGGTCCCAGGGAACCACCTGATTGGCGGAGATTGCAAGGGAGTTTGTTAAGTGGAAGTCAGGAGGGTAAGAAAAGGGACGGAAAGACGCGACTTCTCGTGGTCGCGACAGCCACTCATTGCGGCATCTCAATGCTCACGCATTAGGAGCTCATTGCTTCATAATTGCGAGAAGAAAGCTTGTGAGAAGGAAGGCCCCGTTGCATTTGCATTTGCATTTCAAACGCCTTTCACTTTTCGAATTCCTAAGGCGAAAGAGCATTCGAGGCAGCCGCAGCAGGAACCTTTCACTTGGAAAGCATTTAGACGAACGGGACTTCACGGAATGCAAATCAACGCACCCGCACGCGGCGCTGGCCCGGCAGGTACACGAAGAGCACTGGCAGGCGTACGAGCGCGCTGCTTGGGAACATTGATTCTAAGAGATTCAAGGCGAATAGGACTTAATGCAATGCGACGCCACTCACCCGCTCGCGGCGCTGGCCCGAGAGGTTCGCGAAGAGAAGGCGCACGAGCGCTCTGCTTGGGAACATTCACTAACAGAAACTCCAGTCAAACGATTCTACAGAATGCGCGAAACTACTCACCCGCACGCGGCGCTGGCCAGAGAGGTCCGCGAAGAGCAGGCGCACGAGCGCGGAGCTGGGTCCCTTCACGAGCGGCGGAGGGGACACGGGGAGCGCGGCGAAGAGCTGCGGAGAGTCGACCTCCTCCTGCTGCTGCTGCTGCTGGGTGCTAGTCGGCTGGGCCATAGAGCGAACTTTCGTGCTCGTTGCGCGTCCAACGGAACCTCAACTTGTATGGTGCAAGTACGAATATAACTCTGCGGAACGAATATCTCAGAGACAGTGTAGCTACTGCGCGCGTACAGTGCACCCACTCTGTCTCTACGTTGCTAGTACCCACCCCCCACCTCGGTACCCCAACCCCCTCGATCTCAATTTTGGGATGTATAGAGTACGAATATATTCTGAACGTATTCGTAGAACAAATTGGTTAGGCGCGACGAATATCTCTATGCTGCGGAATGGAAGAGGTGCTGGACACACAGACGGTATTCTATGCAAAGTATTCTTTCGCCGGACAGCCCGAACCGCTGGCTGGAAAAATCATGTCCTGCAGGGATTGGTCAGGCGTGCAAGGTGTGGAAGGTGGACAGGGGAATTTACCGCCAGGAACCACGCGAAGGAAAATTGATGGAAACTAGCGGAATAGATGCGGTTCAAACCGGTACGCAGTAAAGCCCTGTTCTGTTGGGTAGGCTATCAGGCCGGCGGTAGGTCTGCAGCAAGGAAGCTCCAGCCAGTAGACAAAGCCACGAAAGCCAAGGCGTAATCGAGAAGAAAGGGAATGCCGTCGGACTTTCCGTCCTGATAGGGAGGCGTGGTTGGCGGGAGGGATCTGTCAGGAGGTAGGCAACGGTGATTGGCAGCTTTGGGAATTGCGGCAGCACGGCTAGGGGAAGCGTGACATTGCGGAACTAACAGGAAACGCGATACAGTACACCCGTTTGAACAGCTGCAATGTTTCCACTTGTGCATCTTGATTGAAAGGCCTCCTATCTAGCAAAGAGACAACACTAAAGAAAAGAAAGCCTCAAACTAAAACAGCCATACATTGGCAAACGTACAAGCACAGCAGCCACTACATCCCACTGCCAGAGACGCCGAGATATTGGCCAATAATCCCCCGCACCTGTGGTACACATAGGTGGCACAAACCAATAACACCATTAAATCTCAAAGCACCATTCAAAACAGCTAATTCATACGCTGAGTCAATTCTGGTCACACACAAAAACACCCTCACATCATAAACAGAACCCACAAACAATTCTCGAAATGATATTAACTCACTTGCCAGTATTTGGAAACACATCTGTCAACACAGCTAGTCTCTCCAAGATTCAACTCCGACTCTTTATACCTGGATGGGATGGTAGCGTAAGGAGACGGGAGGGAACAGCGGAAACAGCAGAATGAAATTATCCCTACATTCGTATTACAGGTAACTCTGTTAATCAAAGCTGCTTGTGAACCACCGTACCTACGGAACAGACTGTTGAACAATATCGCGTTATGACGAAAGGCAAGAAAAAACAAAATTCACGACTTACTTCTTCTCGTAGCACTTGTCAAAGCACGTCGCCACCATGCTGTGACAGCATCGAAGCAGGAAGTGGATAGGGGAAGGAGAAAAGGGGTTGGGAACGCAAACGCAGTGGAAAGGGGAAGTGGAATTTTGACGCTTACAAAGGATGGACAGGTATAGAGAGAGCATGCTGAGGTGTCACATTTAAGCAGCCACATGCACACACGCGAATGGCGAAACGGGAGAGAAGGGCTCGGCAGAGTGAGGGAGAAAGTAGGAGGCAGCAAGGTAAAGAGGGAGAGAGATGGAGAGGAAGGGATAGGAGAGAATTGACGAGGGGGGGAAGAGGAAGGGAAAGATGTGGAAAGAAGGAGGAAGGAGGGAAGGAGGGGATGGGAGGAGAGGGCTGGGAGGGTATGGGCATGAAGGGTGGGGTTCTGAATTGCATTTGGAAAGTGGATACTCACGAATTGAATAGGCTCACTCGGTACTCCATTTGTTGAGCTGCCATCTCATAGATCTGTTGTGGATCAGGAAAAAGGAAACGCAGCAACATACAAAAGAGGATCGCGAATGTCGATGGCACAAACCGCAGGCAAATCGCTGCCTGCTACGGCGTTTAAGGGGACTGTTGACGACTGACGTGACGAGTCGCATACAACCTAACGAATCCCATGCAAGGTTCTCCGTCATAGTCGCTAAAGCTCGTGAAACATTAAAAGCTCCTGAACTCAGCTAAACAAGCACCTGTTTGGCTTGAATCCGGAAAGAACTCTCAGTGATCGCTCATGTCTTGGACGCCTCGCGAGGAACCCAGATGCGACGGCGAACTACGCAATGAAAGACTGAAGAGGACCGGATCACGACAGGGAGACGACACACCTCGTCTTTGTCGATCCCATCGGGCAGCGCCTGAGGAGCCGCAGCCTTTCCCGCCATGTTACGATCTCACAAGGGCCAAACCTAACTGCTGTGTCTGTAACCAGGCTCTTTAGTGACGATCGTTACTGAAGCAGATGCTCAAGCAGGCGAACCAAGTGAGTGGTCTTCAAGTGTCGCAAAATTGGCAACGTCACGGGATGAACAAGCTGTTGGGTCAAGGACAAGGAAGTTTATGTCAAATGTCACGTGTGCAATAGAACAAGGAACGAAGATTGCACTATCGGGGTTAAACGGAGTGAAACCTTCGACACAAGAAACCAGTTGTTTCCAACTTCCACCCTGGCTGTTTGTTACGGGTGCATTGAATCTAAGTAGCGAGAATTGCAATAAGGTGTCAAACGACTACAAAATCTGAGCGAAGGTCATTTATACGCGAAACAGGCAAACGGTAACGCGGTGCGTGCGAGCTAGCTAGTGCTACGCTGGCAGCGAGGTTCGGGCTAGTCCCGAAGCGTAGGCTGACACGGCCAGGCCAGCAGTGCGAGGTTTGGTGAAACAGTGCACGCGAAGTCGGCGAAGCCCCGTTAGTAGAACGGGCAAACAATGGCTGCTGCTGTACGCGATGTTGCAGGGCGCGCTAAGGAATATCGAGAAAATTCCTTACACTACCCCCCCCCCTCAAGAAGCCCCCTCCGCTACGCGAGTGCGTGTATATCGTGGAAACCCTGGCTCCTCATGTCAAACATATACATATGTTATAGTTTTGGGTAGGTTGTAGTGGGGTAGATACTGTGGGGTACAATCCCTTAGGTTTCCTTCTTGTACCAAAATCTCTCGATAGTCACACACATTCCTGCTTAGTTTCTAAGATGGTATCTAGAGTAGTAGGTCTTTAGGACCTAAGATTAGGGCCCACCTGTTACCGCGTTACCTCGCCTACGGCCTTGCCTACCTGCCTGCCTTGCCTGCTGCCCGCGCGCGCCTTGGCTACACGCGCGCGTATCTTTTTTTTTTTAGCGCACGCTACTGCTGCAGCCGCCTCCGCAGCCCGCTGCAGCGTCGCGCCCCGTGCCCGCAGCCTGCGCTGAGCTCGCGTCGCCCGCGCACCGCTTGCGCAGCCCGCGACGAGCCCGCGCAGCCCGCCGCCGCGCGCAGCCCGCTTAGGCGCCGCGCGCCGCGTCCGTCGCCAGAGCGGCCCGCTGCTGCCGCGCGCGCCGTGTCCGCCGCCCGCGCAGCTTGCTGCTGCCCCGCGCGTCGCGTCTGCCGCCTGCGCAGCCCGCTGCTACTCCGCTAGCTGCTTCGCGCGCCGCCTTAGGAGCTCGCGTGCGGCCCTCTGTGTCAGAACATATAGCTTTTGCATATTGTGTAGGCTATAGTGGGGTAGCCCACAAGGGGTACAACCCAATTAGGGTTAGTACTTGTACTCAGTTCATTCATAGTTCATTCATTTCTCGTTCTCATTTTCTCATGGTATCGAGCAGGTTCCCCTGTGGGAACTGTGCCTAGGGCCCACCAAATTTCGAATTTTTTTTTTTCCTGCCCGAAGCGCGCTCCGCCCGAGTCGCGCTCTCACCTCGTCGAGCCGCCCTAGCGGCCCTCCCTACCTTAGCGGCCCCGTCGCCCGTTCGTGCGGCCCCGCCACCTACTAGCGTGGCCCTGCCACCCGCATTCGCGGCCCCGTCACCCTACGTCGCGACCCCGCCGCCCTAACTGCGGCCTCGCCGCCCTAAACCTGCGGCCCCGCCGCCCTACTTCGCGGCCCCGCCGCCCTACGTCGCGGCCCTGCCGCCCTACTCTACGGCCTCGCCGCCCTACTCCTGCGGCCATGCCGCCCTACTTCACGGGCCCCGCCGCCCTGTTCAGCGGCCCCGCCGCCCCACTTCGCGGCCCCGCCGCCCCACTTCGCGGCCCCGCCGCCCTGCTTCAGCGGCCTCGCCGCCCGTCTGCTGCGGCCCCGCCGCCCCAGTTCGCGGCCCCGCCGCCCTTCTTCAGCGGCCCCGCCGCCCGTGTGCTGCGGCCCCGCCGCCCCACTTCGCGGCCCCGCCGCCCCACTTCGCGGCCCCGCCGCCCTACTTCAACGGGCCCCGCCGCCCTACTTCAGCGGCCCCGCCGCCCTACGTCTGCGGCCCCGCCGCCCGTCTGCTGCGGCCCCGCCGCCCTACACCTGCGGCCCCGCCGCCCTACTTCAAGGGCCCCGCCGCCCTACTTCAAGGGCCCCGCCGCCCTACTTCAAGGGCCCCGCCGCCCTACTTCATCGGCCCCGCCGCCCTACGTCAACAGGCCCCGCCGCCCGTCTGCTGCGGCCCCGCCGCTCTCCCCTCCTGCAGCAGCGCGCCCGAGCCGCCGACCGCCGCGCCGCCCTGTACCAGAGGAGCCGAGCCGCCCTGCCGCCGAGCCGCCCGGCCGCCCACCAGCCGAGCCGCCGTGCAGCCGAGCCGCCCAGCCGCCGAGCCGCCCAGCAGCCGAGCCGCCCCGCAGCCGAGCCGCCGAGCCGCCCAGCAGCCGAGCCGCCCAGCCGCCGAGCCGCCCTACAGTTGAGCCGCCCGAGCAGCCCTGTCCGGTGAGCACAGCCTCTCTGTCACTGCGTGCCCTTCCCCTACTGCTTGCACTGCTAGTCTACCGTCGTCATGGCTACCCCTAGTGTCCTCGCTTTTGACGCTGAGGGTCGAGCCATTGACTTTGAGGTCTGGGTCGACGACCTGCAGCTGTTCTTACAGTGCGATAGGGCGAACGGTCTTTCTCTCTTTGACCTCACCTCTGGCGCCTCTCGTGCCCCTGCTGCTGATGCTGACCCCACTGTTCGCTCTCAGTGGGCCACCCGCGATGCTGCTGCACGTCTTGCTGTGCGTCGCCACCTGCCTACCACTGAGCGCGCGCACTTTAGTCAGTACAAGAGTGCTCAGACCTTGTACGACGCTGTAGTTGCGCGCTACTCTTCCCCTGCCACTGCTGCACTGAGCCGCCTCATGCTACCGTGAAGGTGGCGGTGGAGGCGGCGGAGGGAGTGGGGGTGGTGGTGGGAGTGGTGGCGGAGGTGGTGGTGGTGGTGGCGGCAGTGGAGGCGGAGGCGGCGGCGGCGTTAGCGGTGGGAGCGGAGGTGGCGGTGGTGGCGGCGGTGGAGGCGGCGGTGGCGGAGGAGGTGAAGCTGGTCGGGGTGGTGCCTCGCAGCGGAGCGGCTCTGGTGGTGGTCAGCGCCAGCAGCAGCAGCAGCAGCGTTCTCGGGACATCCCCCCCCCCTCAGCAGCTCAGTGAGTGGTATACGCAGTGTCAGCGTGGTGGGGGTTTTGGTCCGTGCACCTACGTCCTTCGCTCCGGCGACCGCGCGGGTGAGCAGTGTGGGGGTGCCCACCCCACCCAGCGCTGCTTTGGCCGCCTGACGGACGCTTGGCGTCAGCAATTCCCCGAGGCTAGTGAGATCCCCCGCTGGGGAGAGCTGTCTAGGGAAGGCGTAGCTATCTATGATCTTGACTTTGATGCTATTCTTGCTGCCATGTATGCTGTGACTATTAGTGATGAGGGTGACTGTTACCGCTGTTTCCCGCCCGACCCGGGCATAGGTACTGCTGCGCTAGGTGCTTGTGAGGCTGCTGCTCTGGGTGCCAGCGCGTCTCCACCCTCAGGTACTGGTGAGGCTGCGCTCTCAGGTACCGCGTCGGCTTCGGCCTCCCTCACCTTCACGCTTGACTCGGGGGCTTCTCGCTCCTTCTTTCGAGACCGCACCACACTCACGCCGCTTGGTCGGCCGGTTGCAGTCTCCCTGGCTGACCCCTCTGGGGGTCCTGTCCTCTCTGACTTCTCCACAGTCCTCCCGTGTCCGGCTGCCCCCTCGGGCACCTTGTCTGGTCTGTACCTCCCCTCGTTCTCGACGAACTTGGTGAGGGGTGCTGACCTGCAGGATGCGGGGGTTCACCAGTTCACTCCTGCGAGTCAGCGGGTGACCCACTGCTCGGATGCCCCCACAGGGCGACACCTAGCCACGTTTTCACGCAGGCCGGGGTCGAGTCTCTACACCCTGACCACTGCGTCTCCTCCTGTCTCTGCGTCTGGCCAGGTAGCTGCGTCGGGTCAGGTGTTTGCTGCAGCGTCCAGGTCTGGTCCTGAGTCTGCCCCCTGCTCGTGTCGCCTCCTGTCTCACGAGACTCTCCTGTGGCACCACCGTCTTGGTCACCCCTCCCTTCCTCGTCTTCGGGGCATGGCCTCCCGTGTCCTTGTCTCTGGTCTTCCCCGATCCCTCCCTCCCCTTCCTTTGGGGCCTCGTCCTTCCTGTGTCCCCTGTGTTGAGGGGCGGCTCCGGGCTGCCCCTCACTCCTCTCAGTTTCCCCCGACAGAGGCTCCGCTGCAGACGCTTCACTTGGACGTGTGGGGCCCGGCCCGCGTCCATGGACAGGGTCACGAGCGCTACTTCCTGCTGGTGGTTCACGACTACTCGCGGTACACCACAGTCTTCCCCTTGCGCAGCAAGGGTGATGTCACTGCGGTGTTGATCGACTGGATCCGCGCAGCTCGTCTCCAGCTCAGGAGGAGCTTCGGCTCACACTTTCCTGTTCTTTGTCTGCACTCTGACCGAGGCGGAGAGTTCTCCTCTGGCCTTCTGCGAGCCTTCTGTCGTGCGCGAGGCATCCGGCACACCTTCACGCTTCCGGACTCTGCACAGCAAAATGGGATTGCTGAGCGCCGCATTGGCATGGTCATGGACGTCGCTCGTACGTCCATGATGCATGCGGCTGCCCCCCATCTTCTGTGGCTGTTTGCGGTTCGGTACGCGGCGCATCAGATCAACCTTCACCCCAGGGTCTCCCGGCCGGAGACCTCCCCAGCTCTGCTGTGGACGGGGAAGGTCGGCGATGCGTCTGCGTTCCGTGTCTGGGGATCTCGGGCGTTTGTCCGTGACTTGTCTGCGGACAAGCTGTCCCCTCGTGCTGCTCCCTGTGTCTTCCTTGGCTTCCCCCCTGACGCACCAGGGTGGCAGTTCTACCACCCCTCCTCTCGTCGTGTTCTGTCCTCCCAGGACGTCACGTTCGACGAGTCAGTCCCCTTCTACCGCCTCTTCCCCTACCGCACTCCTTCCCTCCCCCCGCCACCGCACTTCCTCGTGCCAGGTCCCCCCCCGATAGACCCCCTTCCCCCTCAGGGTCCTGCCCCTTCAGGTGTGTCCCAGGTAGACGCAGTCGAGCCGGTCGAGGTTGCTGGTGACTCTGGTACTGCTGCGGGTGCTGAGCCTGGGGGTACTGACTCTGGGGGTGTTGCGTGCGTGGGTGCTGAGCCTGGGGGTGCTGAGTCTGGGGGTGCTGCGACTGGGGGTGCTGAGCCTGGGGGTACTGCGACTGGGGGTGCTGGGCCTGGGGGTGCTGAGCCTGGGGGTGCTGAGCCTGGGAGTGCTGAGCCAGGGGGTGCTACGTCTGGAGCTGCTGAGCCTGGAGGTGCGGAGCCTGCGGTCGCTGGACCTCCCCTTGTGGCGTCTGGCGGTGCTGAGTTTGGAGGTTCCTCTGGGTGCTTTGTCTCGGCGGGAGCCCCTCTCACCACAGGAGCTGCGCGAGTTGTTTACTCGCCGCTGGAGCCGTACTGCTGGAGCTGGAGCTTCTTCGGCCGCTGAGTGTGCTGGTGCCGCCGGTCCCGGAGGTGCTGAGCCTGCGGGTCCGACTGGAGCTAGAGCTGCTGAGGGTGTTGGTGCTGAGACTACTGCTGTCCGTCCTGGTGGTTGTCCTGTTGCGAGTGCTGCTGGTGCTGCTGGAGGTCCTGCAGCTGGAGGTGCTGTTGGCGCTGGTGCTGCCTCTGAGGGTGCTGGTGCTGTCCCTGCTGTGTCTGGAGTTGCCGCGCGGCCTTGGCCGTACTTCGTTCCGCTCCTGCAGCAGGTTCTTGGTCTTTCTACTCCTGTAGAGTGTCCACCGCCTGTCCAGTCTCACTCACAGTTAGAGCCCGCCTCCCCTCTGCCTGCTCCCTCTCCTTACACTGGTCCTACTGGAGGTCTTGCTGAGCGTTGTGAGCCTGCGTCTCGTCCCGCTTGCCCCTGAGGGAGACCCGGATGCACTAGACATCCCGACTCCGCGCTCTTACGCGGAGGCCGTAGAGGGTCCCTACTCCTCTGAGTGGCAGGCAGCTATGGATGCAAAGATGGCTTCCTGGAAGTCCACAGGCACCTACGTTGACGCGGTTCCCCCTCCTGGGGCGAACATCGTCAGTGGGATGTGGATCTTCAGGGTGAAGCGGCCGCCGGGCTCTCCACCTGTCTTCAAGGCGCGGTACGTCGCTCATGGTTTCAGTCAGCGGCAGGGAGTTGACTACTTTCAGACCTTCTCTCCCACCCCGAAGATGACCACTCTTCGGGTGCTGCTGCACATAGCCGCTCAGCGCGACTACGAGCTTCACTCTCTTGACTTCAGCACTGCTTTCTTGCAGGGTAGCCTCCACGAGGAGATCTGTCTGCGCCGTCCACCTGGCTTCACTGGGACTTTCCCTCCTGGCACCCAGTGGAGCCTCCGACGGCCAGTCTACGGTCTCCGCCAGGCACCACGTGAGTGGCACGACACACTGAGGACTACGCTTGCGGCTCTTGGGTTTGCTCCCTCTACTGCTGACCCGTCGTTGTTTTGCGCACCGACACCTCTCTGCCACCGTTCTACATCCTCGTGTACCTCGACGACTTGGTCTTTGCCACAGCTGACACTGCTGGACTCGCCTACGTGAAGTCCGAGCTGCAGAAGAGACACACGTGCACAGACCTGGGTGAACTGCGCAGCTACCTTGGCTTGCAGATCACCCGGGACAAAGCACGCCGCACCATTACCTTGACTCCTTCACACATGGTGCAGCAGGTCCTTCAGCGCTTCGGCTTCACGTACTCCTCGCCTCAGGCCACTCCTCTGTCTACTCGCCACTCGCTCTCAGCTCTGCCTTCGGATGAGTCCGTAGAGTCGAGTGGCCCGTACCCAGAGCTTGTTGGCTGCCTCATGTACCTGATGACCTGCACACGACCTGACCTTGCATACCCTCTTAGCATTCTTGCACGCTATGTTGCTCCTGGGAGACACAGACCAGAGCACATGGCTGCAGCGAAGAGGGTGTTGCGCTACTTGTGCAGTACTTCGGGCATGGGGCTAGTGCTTGGAGGGCGGAGTCCAGTGGTCCTCACTGGGCACGCGGACGCTTCTTGGGCTGACGACCAGGCTACTCAGCGGTCGTCCAAGGGTTACACCTTCATTCTTGGTTCTGGCTCTGTTTCGTGGCGGGCTACTCGCTCGTCCTCTGTTCTCGGCTCCAGTTGTGAGGCTGAGATCCACGCCGGGGCCATGGCTGCACAGGAGCTTCGCTGGCTCACCTACCTGCTGACTGACCTTGGAGAGTCGCCTCGTTCTCCTCCAGTGCTGTACGTAGACAACAAGGCCATGCTGGCCTTGTGTCGTGAGCAGCGCCTGGAGCACAGAACGAAGCACATTGCTCTCCGCTACTTTCTTGCTCGTGAGCTGCAGCAGCGTGGTCAGTTGCGACTTGCGTACGTGGCCTCTGAGGCCAACACTGCTGATGTTTTCACCAAGGCACTTCCGCCTTGTGATCATCAGCGCTTCTGCACTCAGCTGGGACTTGTCCCTGTCTTGCCTCACTTGCTCACCTCTTGACCTTGCTTGTACTCTTGCATATATATATATACCTGCTCTTGCTTGTTTGGCCTTAGAAAAACCTGTCTACCCCTGCATGTGAACTGGCCTTGTGGCCTTGACCTTGTGCTCGGACTGTGTGGTGACTTTGTGATCCACCCTGAGCTTGCTTTGCTTTGCTTTTCTTGACTGGTCTTGTGACCCCTTGTTCTCCCCCACTTTGCCTATGGGGGTGTGTCAGAACATATAGCTTTTGCATATTGTGTAGGCTATAGTGGGGTAGCCCACAAGGGGTACAACCCAATTAGGGTTAGTACTTGTACTCAGTTCATTCATAGTTCATTCATTTCTCGTTCTCATTTTCTCACCCTTCTGCCCCACACGCC